AAGGCTAATCCTAGTAACCATACTTACTAAGACCAGAGGATAGTATATTATCGTAATATAGTCCTATAATCGTACAAAACCTGTAAGAAATTGAAACCTAGTATGCAGTCGTGAGTTATATTGGGACTATAGCAAACTGAAGGGTTAAAACAACGTGTATGTAATAATAGTTGAATATCTACCATGTATTTGGGTCGTAAGAAAAGGGAATTCTTCGTTTTTCCAGGCTATCTTTGACAGTGGTATCGGTGCAACAAATACTCGGTTTGGCGAAAGAGGTATAAAATCTGAGAATCAGTGAGCTATCTACCTACAGTGCATGTGGGCGTCCATCTGCCTCGAGCTCTGATTGCGGGCTCGAAAAGTAGAACGAATAAATCAGCCCTATTTCCCATCTTTGGAAACAAAATCGCAATTTTTCATGACCCAATCTTAGATGTCTTTATTTCCACTCTAATGGGTGAAATAATGCATCTCGCACCTCCTACGCCCACGCCTGAATAAATAGACAAAATCGTCCAGTCACAATACCAACACGCGTGCCAAAGATTAGCGAAAAACACCCGCATATCATTATGCGCACTTGTAATCTGTGATTTTCTCGCGGATTCGTCATGCACGTGCCAATCGAGCGCCATAAGCTAAACGTTGGCATCCAGTATACCAATGTGGCTTGTCATTTTGCGTTGAAGTGTCCACAAAAAATACTGTTTACACAAAATTTACGCTTGACGAGTTGTCACCACTGCGTCTCGAAAATAGTACTATTATCACCCCCATCGAAAAGTTTGGCTGGCACAAAACAAGAACGCACCCCCTGTTTCAGCTATTCTCTATCGATATTATTGGCATTGGCAACAAACAGGGCGATGACTCAGGCTGCAACTTACTCAGCCCCACGATCCCGAGAAAATACTCAACAAACAAAGGAGACATGATGGTGAGAAAGACAAGCTGTAGTAGTAGTAGTAGTAATAATAATAATGAGGACTTAGTATTAGTAAAACTGTCGAAATAGGCGAAAAGGCAACCTACGGCAAACAAGTGAAAAAAAGGAAGGGAGGCTCGATCGCTGGGCCAGGGATTTAAACTTGATGGGATTCACTCTCGAACTAAGTATCATCAAGCAATAACAACTCGAGGGATAGGAGACGTGCTACTTTTAGGTTGCAGTCGCTAGGCGACCAAACACGCGGGCTAAAATTAGCAGCTTTGTCTCCATAGTGCAATGATACTCTAGCCATCCCCCCCCCCTATACAAGCACTTAATGACCTAGACTTCACCACTGGTACAGTTGGTCGGCATGATAATAATTCGCCAATTGGGTTCACTAGTGCTATCACTGGAAGCAGTCATAACTGGCGCATTCCCTATCGAGCTAAGTCTGCTGCCCTGACGACCATAGTGGGGAATAGGAAAAAGGTGGCATTGTGCTGTCGGCCATCTTTCCTCGCCAGACGGTTCTAGGGTTGCACCCAAACGGGTGGGAGCCATCAAACGTCGAGGCATGAGGCGAAAGACCCACTTATAGAGCAGGAAACATATGCAGCTATTCGCCATAGCTACGATTGAGAAACTGACCCCGGCTGTAGACGGTTGAACGTGCATAAACAATGAGCAGGAGCAACGCCAGCTGTCTAGTAGGAGCTGAATCACAGCCACACACACACACACACACACACACACACACACACACACACAATAGACAGGCATCCTGAATGGAGGTGACATCCGCGTGATTAGCCGACTGCTTGAGTCATGGTTCTCCGTCCTCAAGTTCATCAACAAGTAGGATGCTCCACCCCACCCCGATCCACCACCATGACGGTTTAGGCAGAATAATTAGTCACAGTGTGCAAATGGACCCTGCCTCCAGGTAACATGGGTGAGCCAGATTGACGAGTGGTGATCATGCCAATCACCGGCACCAATGATAAAAGTGTGGTCATTACTTATGCGGATGTGGGTGAAAAAGCCATCAAGTACAAAAACCTGAGATGAATACGAAAGCTTTTTATCCTAGCAAACGTTTGGTGGCATAGCGCGACTGCACCCTACACCCCTA